CACAAAAGGTCTCCTCTTATTTTTTTCATTCAATGCTTTTTGCTTTTTTTTTTTTTTTTTGCTTATATATTATTTTTCATTAATTAAAATTATAGATAATTTTGATTTGTGTTGTTCCTTCGATTTTCAATCACGAAAAGATATCTTTTTAAAGTGTTGCCATAATTAGAAATTATCAATGCGGGTAGTCGGGTAGATGAAAATGGGTAGAAATTATTTCGTATAATATATTTTGATCTGTAATGGATAAGAATCAATTTCAATAGATAATCTCGTATGAAATTATATTGTTATAGGGATAAGTTTCAATTTGTTAATAGCTATGAGTAAAGATATTTATCTTTACTAGAGATGATGGATTTCGTATCCTTACATTTAATTGATCTTAATCGCATCATTTGCCATGTACAATAGTGATTATCTTTACAATAATTTTAAAACATGGAACCTATTAGGGAATATTTGTACAAACAGATTTTCTCGCCACTCCGGTGTACAAATGCCTGCATGGCAGAATTGTAGCAGTCGGATTGGATGTATTTGTTTTGAAATTTTGTCAAGTGTAAATTGTGTAAATGATAAATGAGGATGTACATGTAGTATAACTCAATTTATTAACTTAGTAAAAATGAGATATGGGACTTTCAAGTGGATAGATGGGATCTCTCGAATGAATTGAAAACTAATATGGATGCAACTATTCGAGCAAATGATGGTTTCACATTGATATCAAGACAATAATTGGGATTATTGGGGGACGATAATCACAATTGAGATGTAAGACAATGCCGAGTTTCTTTTTGGTTGGAAATATAGAGGTTGTTGCTTTCAAAGAAGGATTGTTACTCACACAAAATAGTCGAAATTTGCCTTGACAGTGTTGAAACTAAATCGTTTTTGCTTGTTTAGAAGTAGGAATCGGACAGTTATTTTGACCCTTACGAGGCATTATTTGTACAATATTGTTAATTTGTTACAATGGGTTTGTAGTGATGGAATAGAGCGTCACATCCGCATGCATATCGGCATGCCTTTGTGATGTTCTATCTTAGTAGATCGATTGTATTCCATAGTTTCTGTCACAGCTCTTTTCTACGTAATATGTTTTAATTTAATTTTTTAGCAACTTATGCTTTTTCACAATCAGTTTGTAATTAAATGAGATGGTTGGCTTTCAAAAAGAAAAATAGGGGTTTAATTTTTTTCTTATCATTTATGAACTCAACTTTTCTATCTACATTGCTGTAAATTAAATTCTTGATAGCACACCTTATATAAAATCATGTATCGATAAGTCTCGATTGATATCATGTCCTTGTTTGATTTTAATAAAAAATAATTTTTTAAGTAGATTTTGACAAATTGAATGAAGTAATAAATTGACTAACCAAAATAACCTTAGACCAAATATAATATTTCTAGAATGAAACGTCAGCACATTTGGACCCACCGTTACATTGTTGAACTTTTTAAAGGTCCAGATCCTGCTCTTTCTTTTCCTTCCCCTGAATGGGGGTTTTTCTATTGACGAAATCGATTGAGCTTTTGTGCCCGAATGATCCGACACTGGCATCAATCACCAAAATTATGTATTTGAAGAATTATATTTATACAAGTTGTGTTACTTATTTCTTTTCGATATTGTTCATGTCCCCCGCATTGTGAGAAATTGAAAGGTCATAATAAATTGTAAGAACAGAAAATTAGATACTCGCCTTTTAAAAGTTTGGATTAGATTTGCGTATTATCAAGAACTCCAACCTCGACGTTTTCGGTGTACTTCTTAGAATGGGAGTGAATAACAACATGTTTTGTGACATTTTTGTTTCCTTTAAAATCCTGTCATATGACATTTCTTAAAACGATAGGAAGTATTGGATAAAAATATTTGTAAGAAGAAATTACAAGAAATGTCCACTTTTCAGATGGTCATTTGTAAAAATATCCAAAATTTGTTCAATATCCATTTTGATATATTTTAGACCAAAATATCTTTATTAACAATTTATAATTCCACACTAAA